TTTCTTTTCCTGTACACATCAAATGCTACTGCAGCAAAGGTTCCCTCTGCTCTAACCAGTATGCAACATTTCCCTCCCTTGAGAGAGACTATTACCGTGTACTCTGCAGCTCATTTTTCCAGGATTACGGTATAGTGATATCCGGAACAGGAAAGAATTGAACTGTTCTGCCGTAGGAATTTCCTGTGATTGCCAATCAGGTTGAGATGATGTTACTGTTTAGTTATTATGCAGCATAACTATTATGTCTGCCAGTACAGAGATTCCCTAGGAATATTCTATACCTTTTCATCTGTCATTATAACAACACACAGGCTGAAATAATGGCCCAGCCTTGCAGCAATTATTTTGATTATATTTAAAGACCAATTACAGGACTGGATGCTCACAGCTAAAATAAAATAGAGGTTTGGATCGACTATTTAGCTAACAATAAGAACTACTACCTCCAAATTTTTCTTGGAAAAAGCTAAACCTTCGTAAATACAGTATGCATGTGTTCTCATGTTGTTTTAACTCATAAATCTAAAAAATCGTTGTTTGAATTCATGTTGTTTGAATTCATAAATCTAAAAATAATTCAATTTTGAACTATTTTGGTGGATATGTCACATCACTAAATGCTCACTACATACCAGTAGTAAGTACTATGTAGTATTTCGGATTCTATATTTCCACTTAGTCCATATAAAATAGAACTCTCATCATTTAACATTTATGGAGAATGCATTGTGCTCCTCTGTGGAGAGGGAACTTGAGTTCTTCTAATTTTAGGGCAAATTGGCTGCCACACTAGCTACTACTACTAATATAAATTCTTGACTCTGTGTTGTCAGGCACTGTTCTAATTGCTTCCTGTGAATTTTCTCATTCTACTCTTTTAACCATACTGCAAAGTAGCACTGTTATCTTCATTTTATGGATGAAAAAGCTGAGGCACACAGATTAAATAACGTATTAAGGAAACATGAGGAGTCCTGGCTTAGCAGGTATCCAAGTACAGTTCTGGATCTAGAACCCAAGCCCTTAGCCACTATGTATGCTAATCCTACGTCTCCATGCTATTACACACAAAAAATACATACTGCCATTGTGTAGCTAAATGTTTGTATATTTTCACTTCCTGCCTCAGTTTTCTTCTGCACAAACTCTAATGTGGATTTCAATGAATCTCTTTGGAACTCTATATTCTTTATCCCCAACTTTCTTATCCTGGAAGACTTCTTCTGGAAGACATTTGAAGCTGTCCATCTTTCAATTAAAAACAAAAAGCTATCAGTAGCTATATCTCATTTAGGGATGCACTGAATTTGTTTCCTTAAAGATTATTCTCACAAAAACAGAGAATACATGCAACATGGTTTTATTTTTTTTTGATGACTTTTATTTTTAGATTCTATTACAATGTGTCTCAAGTCTAACTACAGTATAATTTATGACAAACTCAGACATTTTGAGCATTCACAGATGTATGAAATTTGTAAAGAATTCTATGTGAACAGCATTATTATAGTCATGGCTATTCATTTATTTTTATGAAGCAATTCTTGATTATTTTCTCAAGAATATAACATAATAAGCCACAGATATTAAGAAAAACTGGTGGCCTCTGTACGTAGGTTCTAAACCCAAGCCAACTGCTTGACCGTTCTAATTTAGCTGGCCCACTTTCATCACTCCCAGTAACATTTCTCTGAAATCGCTATTTAGAACTGCTTTATTTACATATGCATTTTAACTCTTTTTAATAAAGCTATCAAAATTCTATAAAATCATGCTGAACATTTTGGGTTAAGGTTTTCAACAATCAGCATTTAGGAACAGCCTACAAGCCACTTATATCTTTTGCAAACTATGTAACAGTCACAAAGGTAAAATGAGATTCTCCCACTTTTGTCCAAATTGTATGAATGGATTTATGGTCAAATCTGTTCACTTCCATTTTATTGTAATTTAAATTTTACAGTGTAATTGCCATTCTGTCTCATTAAGTAAAATGAGCTCAGTGATTGTGTGACTGAAGTATGAGTATGATGGTGCTTTCTGAGGGCGATATCTCATAAGCAGTACCAAACAGTATGAAACAAGAAGTCTAATTTTCCTTCAAGCTTACACTGTATTAAATGAGCTCTTGGTTCTAAATATTGTTATTAATTGATAAAAAGTCACAACTAGACATTCCTGGGAAAACATATACATACAACACCTATTCATGTTATATTTTTAAAAAATTACAGTTCAGCATGAAATAGAAGAAAGTGTGACTTTGTGATTTTTTTCTTTTTTTGAAATGCTAAGAAGAAACTGTGTTGAGGAACCAGTTGCCAATATTTTTTTTCACATAAAAATCAGGCAATGTAAAAACATTAATAGTAAACCACAAGGAAACCTGCCCACTATATATCTTTTCACACTATATTGTATATATGCAAAGTGCAGTTATATTTATATGGATTCAAAATAATCAGGGTAAACTGCATTCAAATTTAAAGTAATATTAATTTCTTAATTTAATGTTTTAAAAATCTTACAAATGTAATATATTTTATATGGTTTTCTAATTAAATTGTCAAAAACCTATTTTCAACAGACTTATCAGGGATGTGATGCAATGCTCTATGTAGCCTAAGAAAACACTGCATGATTATCTTATATATTAAATTAAGAAGAGGCTCAAATTATGTAAAATGAATGGTTGAACTTAAGCATAGAGAATCTTTGGCCCTAGATTTAATTTCACACATGCCTTAAGACAAACGTCGAAGTGATAATCTCTTTCATGGGTGATGCAAAATACATCACAATTTAAAAACGTTCTAGATAGGCAGTTCTGTGGAAATGTCTCTTTCTTTGTTTTCATCTCTTTCTCGTATCTGTTTCTTTGCCTCTCTCTCTCATTCTCTACCCATACTCCTCCATCTCTGAAGGTATGGTTAAATCTCTGTTATTTTTAACTAGCCAGAACAACAAAAAATAAGTTTTAAGTGCTGAATATTGAAGTCTAATTTATGTTCTTTTTTCATCTAAGAAAGCAAACGAACGAAATACTGTTCTATACATATGCTTTGACAACTCCCACAAAATCTAAATAAAATTACTTTCTACTTATGTAACTCAATTTTTGCCTGTGCACGAATAACTTGATAGAAGAAAGAGCTCATATTCCTGGAATAAACTCATAAAAATGCACGATGGTTACTTATTTTGAAGCCATTATTAACAAGGGTATTTTTTAAAACTAGATTTATAATCCTTGATAGAAGGACAACAGCTAAAGCAAAATGAATGTGTGCTTGGTAAATTATAAGCTCAGGGTACGTTATTGATTGATATATAATATACCCAGTAGTTACAGAATTTTAGGAGAAAGTGACATCCTCCTCATTTTGTAGATTAAAGAATAGAAGTTCAAGAGGATTACTAATACCAATTAGGAAAGCAAGTTGGCAAGCATCTCAGTTGAATGCTAGTTCATTCTCACTAAACACACGTCTGTATTGAAAGCCTGCCATGTATTATGACTTGAGAGCTTGCCATACATTTAGGATAGTGTGCAGGCGATACAGTAAATACAGTGCCCAAGTCATTATCTTCTCAGACATGGACCATGGAATCAAATATTTATCTGCATATCCAGAAGTACTCCATTGAAAAGAAATAACAGCTTTGCTTAGTGCTAAAGAATGACTAAATACTGCATGAGAAAGCAGAAAATTGTGACAAAAATGATTAAGAGTTGGGTCTTTATTGGTATTTTGGGGCAGCACAGTCCAGTATTACACTGTGTAAATAAAAGTGAACAAAGCTTTCTTCAGTGGCTTCTTTTCTCAGTTATGTTCATTTTTTTCTTTTGAAGGATGTACGTAAAATAGTTTTTCATGTTCCATGGTTATTGTATGAACAAAGAAGGATATAGAAAAAGGCAGTCTAGGAAGCACAGTACTCTGAAGGGAACTCTTACGCTAGTTGGTATGAGTCAAGATGAATAAAAAGTATTTGTTGAAATGAAGAGTCTACATATGTTTTTAATCCTGTGGCATTTAGTAGGCACATATAAATTGGTTTTGATGCAATATGGAGTAAATTTAAGCACCTGAAAATGTAGAATGACCTCTGTATACGGATAAAAGAGTCTTGCCCCCTAGTAACAGGATGTTTAAACATCCATTACTAATACCCATTCC